TCTGAACGCTCCTGTGTCTCTCCGTAAGTTCAGAAGCAGAATGTGTTGCGGGCAGCAGTGGCTCATGACTGCAAGATATGTCATGAGTCTGCTGGCTTGATTTCCAAAGTTGTATGAGTTGCCAGATGTTGTGTTTTGCAAAGCCTTCCAGAGAGACTGATGCTTCTGATGGCAACCTTTGGAGAGGTTCTGAAGAATCCTGTGTCTCTCCGTAAGTTCAGAAGCAGAATGTTTTTCGGGCAGCAGTGGCTCATGACTGCAAGATACTTGTCATGAGTCTGTTGGGTTGAATTCAAAAGTTGCATGAGTTGCCAGATCTTGGTGTGTTGTGGTCTGTATTGCAAAGCCTTCCAGACTGAATGTACTGCAAACATGCATCGAGCATGCTTCTGATAGAAGCCTTGAGAGTGACTCAACCCTCAGGATATACTGTATCCAGAACAACAGCTAACCGGACAAGAAGGTGTTAGTTTTCATATCCATGATTGTGATTGGCAGATGATGTTCCTCGACAAGTTGTTGACAGTCATTATTTGAAGACAAATTATGGCTTGTTCGACGTACGCTGATCCTTTGTCCTTCCGTGCAGTCGCCTTCTTTCCTCAGGAAAGGCGGGCTATGCGCCGAGCACAATGCACAGGTGCCCATAGCTCAGAGTGTCTCTCTCTCTCTCTCATCTATTTTTCCCCACGCTTTCTAGCTTTCAGTTGTGTTGGACATCACTCTTGTGTTGTTGATTGCTAGCTTAATTTGTTGTTCCAGACCCTTGACAGTCACCCACTTTGCACTGAGGGGTTCTTTTCTACCTGAATCAATGTGCTTCTTGAAGCAGGCCCGTCTGAAAGATCTGAACCCAGCGGCAAGCCCTGTATTCAACTCAAAGCGAAATCCTGTGGCGGCAGAATGGACAACGCGGGATCTCTAGTTTTGAGGGAGCTCCTGGAGGAGAGCCTGAGTACCAACGGTCTCATTCATTTCCTCCAGCATTTTGTCAACCCCTTTGCTGAAACCCCTCTGGAAATACCCCTTCTACCTGTGTATGCATGAAACAGAAAGTCCACATCGATTCTGGTGAAAGAGCATTTTGTGTGAAGCCGAAGTCCGGAGATTTAGCGCATTTGGCTCTGAACCCTTGCGCATCCAAAAGACATGGCTGGCGAGGTATCTTATCTGAAGCTTTTATGTTGACACCAGTTTGCGTCACAATTCGGGGCGGGCCACCTGCTGCAATAGGATGTAAGGACAAAGGTGCGATTTTGCTTTGCAAGGCCACATATGCAGACCAAACGCTTGACCGGATCATGCTCCTGGTTGCAAATTGGGCTCAATTACAATGTTGCTTTCCGCAGCACCTGAGGCTGGAAAGGCAAGGACTGTGCTGCTGGCCACAGAAAAGGCCTGCAATCTTGCCTAGCATTTTCTTACAACTAGCTACCTTCTACCTCTCCTCCCCTCAGCAACCCCTCCAAAAATGCTGAAACAGTTTCTCTTTCAAAGGCTCTTTCAATGCCTGTGACGGAGTTCCGAGAGGCCTTTGCTGCTGGAGCAGTGAATAAGATCGAGGATGTTTGCAAGGCCCTTCCAGTAGGACAGCCGGTGACGACATCCAGAAGATAAGGTTCATTTTTCTTGCTTCTTCGAGGCGGCCAAGTATACCTTGAAAAGGCTTGAGAACTACAAGAGCAAGGACTGGCTGGCCAAGAGTGACCCCCGGTGACCCCAACAACCTCATGAAGCCGGAACAGGTGATACCATAACTGCCATGTCTGCTTCTTAAGGTCTTTCTTCCGGTTCTTGTGGGGTCACCTCTTAGTGCAGGATGAGCTCCTTGCAGCCGTTGCAGATGTTGATGCCATGATCATCCGATCTGACATAGTGGACCAGGCCTGGAGTATGAACAGTGAACGGCGAAGATGGCAAGCCGGCAAGCCATTCATCACAAGCGGATCGGAGCTAGCCCATGATTGAATCTAAGTATCTGAGTACATACCGTGGTCACCTGTGAGGCAGTTCTTGATAAGGCCAGCAAGATGAAGATTGTGGTGCGTGCAGGCTTCACACTTGCATTGACATGCAATTCATTTTTCATTTTTACAGAAGGCCATCACCAGGACGACTCTTGGTGAAAAGGAAAGCAAAGTTGAATTCAAAAAGTCTGTCGCTCTGGTAGACAGTGGGTTGCTAGCTGCTAGGCGCTGGCTATGACAACATCGATCTGAAGGCCTGCGAGGCGAAGAGCATTACAGTGGGGAGCACAGATTGCTTGTTACGCATGCCACATATGGAAGATAAACATCTTTGCCATGAACATTTTAGTGCTGATGCAACACTTTTTCGTGTGCGCAGCTAATGCTTGCTTCATGAAACAACTCCGCTTCAGTAAAATGAAGACATGTTTCATTTGTGAAAGGAACTAGTGCTCAGGCCATGAATACGCCTGGGCAGAATGCCAACGCTGTCGCTGAATTGGTTTTCGGCAGCCTGGGTCAGCAAGAAGACTTCGGTTTCGGGGGACCCGGATATGTGCAAATTTGGAACGACTTTCGCATTCAAACGAGGGCTAAAGATAGCTATACAGTACTTCAAGAGTAGATGGCAATGAGCGAGGGCCATAGATGGCGTTTTAGCCAAGTGGGTTCCAAATGTGCGCGGGTAAAAGTAGATGAAACCGGTGACTAAAAAGCCACCGCTCTCAGAGCCATCTACTAGACATTTTCCCGGTTCCCAAAAACAGCTGCGCCATGTATTTTTCCTCGTCTTCTCCTGTCTTCCCAAGTAAGCTTCTCTGTACTGGACTGGATATTGCAACCAGCCTCTGCTTTCAAATTCAAGTAAACGGCTTAGAAGATACAACAGCTTGGTTGGCTTCATGTGCTGGAGAATTGGCTTTATTTGGCCATTTACTCAGGTCCACGCAAGCTTTTTGCCTTCAGTAGATAGATAAGATCAGGTTAGATTAGATTAGATTAGATTAGGTAGATAGATCGATCGACACAGCCCTTCTGTCTATCGCCTTTCTGTGCCATCTACTGTTCAGTTGCTCCTTCTTTCCAAAGTCGGAGCCACTGGACCCAGCCATGGACCAACGGTGAAAGTGAGATTGCTGACCAGGCAACTATGTACATGCATTCTGCAATACGGAAATGTCCCCCACCTCTGACATCTCTCTCTCCCTTCCCTGCTCGAGGAAAGAACTACTAACTACATGCGCTATCCTTCCCCAAGCCCATGCCCTGGCTGGTCATCAGGCTGCGCCATCTACTCTGCAGCTGTCAGTCCTGCCCCATCCCCTCCATCCCCTGCTCGAGGAAAGAACTACATGTGCTATCCTTCCACAACTCCTTGCCCTTTCTGCTGCCCATGCCCTGGCTGGTCATCAGGCTGCGCCATCTACTCTGCAGTTGTCAGTCCTGCCCAATCCCCTCCCGCCGCTTCCCTATACCTCCTCTCCCAGCTCTCCCCTCTCCTTCTTTCCCTCCCCCACTGACCTTTTTGTCTTCCTTCCTACGCTCGAGGAAAGAACTACATGTGCTAGTATCCTTCCACAAGTCCTTGCCCTTTCTGCTGCCCATGCCCTGGCTGGTCCAGGCTGCGCCATCTACTCTGCAGCTGTCAGTCCTGCCCAATCCCCT